AATATAAAGCTAGTCTCAATGATGGCAACAACAAAACTGGCCTCAATTGTTGTAAAAGCCTATACCATTGACTAATGCACTTTAGGGAAAGAAATCTGCCAAGTTCAAATAGTCTGGCCTACATGAAACTACAGATCCAAAGCAGTGTGGTTGACTCTTAACTTTCCCCCAAAATGGTCCAGCAAGCCACTTATTTCAAGAGTATGTAAGGGTAGGTAACAAGTCCCGGCATTGCCAGTGCCACCCAAATCCATGAACAAATTAAATAATAAGGATTCCATACTGCACTGCTGGAACAATTATCTATTTTCCCACACTGCCAAATCTCAGTGAGGTTTGCAATTTCATGTTGAACAGGGGGATCTCTGTGTTGGGAAACCCATAAAATTTCAAGTGTTTCTCTATGTCAAATCACATCAATTGTGTGCACGACCGACCTGACCAGGTGAGCTATCTGCACTGGAGGTTTGTCATTGGCTGACAGCACACAATGAAAAATTCCACTCTGCTCATTCAGTTAAACTGAAATTGAAAGCAAAAATAAGACTGAAAGTAACCATGAAACTAATAGGTGGCAGGGGAGTGAATAGGGCAGACATCAGTGGCTTCACTTACCACAACAGAGAGTGTCATGAATAGAAGAACCCAGATTAATATTTCACAGGAAATATGCTGGGCCTGCAGTAACATAGTACGATCTTTGCCAAGCTCAATCCAATTTTTTGATCCCATTGTTTTGTCAGTTATCTCAATCTGAAAAATCTAATTGGTTGTTTTGCCAACCCCACTCACTGTGTTTCTGTTGACCGTAAGACTGTAAGATTTTGGAGCAGAATTAAGCCATTTGGCCCATCGAGTCTGTTCTCCCATTCGATAATGAATGATATGTTAATATAATAGCATAATAATAACAATAATAAAAATGTTGATATAATAACATGCGTAATGACAATATAATTGTTATAACTTCCTAAGACAGTTATGTGATTGAAGTCCTTTTGTTTTCAATGAGACAATGAGAGTGTTGGATTGAATCGATTGGATTTAGCTAGCCAGGATATCATTCTGGCTACCCTTTGTCTTCACCACTTTAAAATTGACAAAGTATCCCATATACTGGCCAATATCCCATTTTGCCTACAGGCGGGCAAGTTTGCCTATATTTGTTCAGGACAGTACTGGGTGATGGCTCAAGCTGTGAAATAGCTCACAATCTAGGCCATATGGATAATGGTTATTTTAAAGACGTTTTGGAAGACATTCACACTGATAAAGGTGTATTGAGCATGAATGCACACGGTTCACCAGATATATTACAGCAACTACCAGTGACCTACTTTGTGTTGGCTTCTTAATCCATTTTGTTTCCTGCGATAAGGCACTGATTCATGTTGATGACTTGACTATTTCCCACCAAATTTCCAAACTCAGGAAACATGAACCTTCCTGAGATGCACACAGATTTGAGAAAAAGCAGCAGTATTATTACACAAACTAAACTCAGTTGCAGCCAGTTAACTGAGTCTTTCAAAAGTATGGAAGTTAAGACTTCCAATTCTATGGCATTCCAAGGACAGGCCAAACAAAATTACCCTTATGCATTTTCCAGTACTGATTTACGAAAGGGCATTCACAAAAGTTCACTGTTTCAGTCTAAGTGTTTAATCAGTTGAGTAGGAAGAACTGAAAAGAGCTCAGAGAATAATATTAAAATTGCAAGAATAGAAAGGGAACCGCATGTATATGAAACAGTAAATTCATAAAATCATAACATTTTGCCATACAGAAGAATGCCTATTTGTACCATATGCCCTATTTGAGAATTATTTACTCAGTCCCATTTTATTTCTGTTTGCCTTAGCCCTTGATTTGTTTGGTTTTCAAGAATGCATTCAATTGACTTTGACAAGTTACTATTGAATTTGCTTCTTTCAGGCAGTGACTTCCAGGCAGTACCAGCTTGATGCATTAATAAAAATTAACCTTCCCATGGCAGTTTCCCATCCTTTTCCCATAACTTCTCATTTCTGAAAGCTGGTCCAAAGTACAATTATATGAATGAGCATATCCAAAGTCATGTCTCAGCAACCAAAGAGCGTGACTAATTTTGTATGATGGGGCCTCACTATTTTGTCGTGGTGCAGCAGGAATGTGCAAAATCTTAATTCTCTGATCATAACTATTTTTCTGACAATAAGAGCCATGGAAGTTGTGGGATGGAAGGCAACATTCCATTTTCATTTGTTTTGCTTTTTGTACCTGAGCATTAATATTTAATAATTTTTGTACTTGAGCTTCCAAATCCTTTTGTTCCTCTAAGTGACAAGCAAACAACCATAGAGTCTTAGAGTCATAGAAATGTACAGCACAGAAACAGAACCTTCGGTCCAACTTGTCCATGCTAAACAGATATCCTAAATTAATCTAGTCCCATTTGTCAGCATTTGGCTAATATGCCTCCAAATACTTCCTATTCATATACCCATCCAGATGCCTTTTAAATTCCAATTTCAAGGAACTATGAACCTGCACTCCAAGCTCACTTTGTTTGGCAACACTCCCCAAGACCTTACCATTAAGTGTATATGTCCCATTCTGATTTGCCCTACCAAAACGTAGCACCTTACAGTCATTTAGATTAAACTCCATCTGCCACTCCTCGTCCCATTGGCCCATCTGATCAAGGTCCCATTGTACTCTGAGTTAACCTTCTTCACTGTCCACTACACCACCAATTTTGGTGTATTCTTCAAACTTACTGACCATAATTTTGCATATTCACATTAAAATCATTTATATAAATGACAAAAAGTAGTGGACCCAACACCAATCCTTGTGACACACCGCTGACCCTGAACATATGTCTTTGCTGAATTAAAGAGAAATCAGTTTGTTAGTTGTTTAATAATTAGATTCACTGATTAGTGTAGAAATGGTCTCTGCTCAGTAAACTGCTTTCTTGAGATTGCTTGGGAAAATGCAATTTTATATAGTGCAACTAAACTAAATGATGGGTAAATTGTTTTATTGTGTTTCATTCAAAATACTAACTCTTAAAATGGCATACTTTTACATCTTAGTTACAGACATTTCTACAAAATAATGATATCCAATTTCAGCTTTTTCAGTTGTTAATAGTTATTATATTACTTGTGAAGTTGAAAAATTCTGAGTCATCATTTGTGCCCGCATTACAAATATATTTAGCAAAATTCTCTGTAAAGAAATGATAGCTGTTTGACAGTGTCAGGCAAACTGCTGGTCTTGCTCAATCTTGTGACTGTGAGCCTTAGCTATCCCCTGAAATGACCTATTAATCCATTTTATTGCATTAAGCCACAGTGAAAAAGTCAAATAAGTATAAAACCAAGTAGATTATCTAGCATCGATCTCAGCTTTGGACATGATTTGTCTTCATATTCTCCCCCGGAGACAATAGTTTAGAGCAAAGGAAGGGCTCCTAAACTGGTTAAGAGTATGTCGGAACCACTGGGTTCACCCTGTCCAAAGCATCAAAGAAACCTCAGAATCTGAAAAGGCCACGGCAGATGTCACAGCCTCGATGCCTTCACTGCCTGAAGAAGAGGATGAATTTCTTCCCAGTTACTCTGGATGCAGGAAGTGGGCTACAGAACAGCAGATGTTGTCAGTGTCTGAGGCAGAGTCAGAGGAACCGGATCTGGTGCGAAAACGCCACAGGAGAAACTACAGTAAAAAGAACGGGCCCAAATCCAGGACTTAGAGGGGGAAGGATGTAGTGATTGGAGCGAGGTCAGCCAGATGGATATCAGAGAATATGAGTTCTCTGATTGGGGCTGTTAAACTTGTCCAATCAGGGAGTCCTGGCTGACAGATATAAACTGGAGTGTCAGGGATTCTCCTCATTTTAGGGACGGGCTCTGAGCTAGCTGGTCTGAGTCCATGTGCTGTGCATGTGTAAATAAATGGTGACTTGGTGATGGGATACCGGCCTTCGTGGAGTTATTTCAATGTGTACCAGCATTACAAACATACTTAGAAGAAATTTTTGTAAAGAAATAATAACTGTTTGATGTTGTCAGGCAAGCTGCTGGCCTTACTCAATCTGGCCTACATGTGACTGTGAACCCATCGCAATGTAGTTGCATCTTAGCTGTCCTCCCTAGCCAAGTTGAAAGGATGATTTTAAATGGCCTTGTACAACAGAAGGATTTTATGGAATATCACAAAAAGTGTAATGGAGGAATCAGACCCTCAATAATTTAGTACAAACATAGGTCTAAATGACAACTGAGAATTCTGTACCAGAGATTCAGTCTCCACTCCAATGTGGAGCAAATTTGAACCCTCCAACATATGAACCCAACTCAGGAGTACTAACTCTATTCTAAAGTTTCAGTTATTGTGCTGATGAGACCCTAAAATGCACATTTCTGAAGGCTTCCTTTTTTGGAGATTAAAAATGCATATTTATCAATTGACTGTGGGCAAAGCCAGGAAATATTTACTAAAAATACAAAAAACATTAGTCAGTGAAATACCAGGATTATATATAACTGAATGAATATAAGAATTACTTGAATCTGATTAAATGCCAATGATCCATATTGTAACTCAGTATTACACAGTGAGATGAAAAGTGAACATATGGAGGATATAAAATAGAACAATAAAATGGAAGGCTAAAGTGGATTAGAATTAGAATGAGAATTAGGTTTTATTGTCACATGTAATCAAGTACAGAGATCCAGGAGGACAGCAAAAAAGTTTAAAACGTCGCCATTCACAGCCAGTCAAGGTACCGAGGTAGAAAATCATAGAAACAAAGTAGAAAAATAAAGAAATAAGTTAAAAGTTCAACATTACAATTCTTCTCAGTATAAATTTGTAAATGAAGAAATAAAGTTAGATGTTCAGAATAACAATGGAGCAGAGGGAAAGAATAGATTATTATTGTGAATGAGGCTACAAGTAGAAAATTCAGTTTGAAACAACGATATCAAACATCATGAATGGACTAATTGAAGAGAGGGAAGAAATAAACCACACTTTAAGTAACCTTTTGAAGTTGGCATAGTGTTAACAGATTTCAGGATGAGAGAACATTGTACAACTTCTACTCTTACTTCCAATGTATTTAAACTTATGGCATGAACAGTTAGAAAGATATTGTCTGTAATGAGCTAATCAGCCTGAAGCTGTAAAGAATATGTGCTTATGGGATAAAGGCCCCATTCCATTTATATCCCCCCATTTCTTTTTGTTATCTCCTTGAGTATGAGCTTCTCATCCAGAGGAGGAATACAGATGTGTCACTGAAAGGCTGAATCAGTCATACTGTCCAGTAAATAGAAAATGAGGCTTATTAGATTCAATGGGATTCACATATTTTGCCTGGTAAGGGAACATCAGAAGTTGGAGAAAGAAAGGTAGACTAGAGAAGGCATATCAGTAACAAACAGCAAGTAAAGCAATCTAGAATAGCTATAGTGAGTATGGGAGACTGATGGACACAGACAAGAAATAAATATTACTCCAATAAATGTATCATTTTCAAAAAAATGTATTTGCTCAAACATGCCTTCATTCAGTATCAAAAGTTTCTAGTTTATAAAAATATTCTATATTTGCTTACTCTCATAAATATTAATAAATTATTTTTTGGAACTCAATTCTCATGCAATACAAAACAGCAGCAGTTCATAACATGAAATGATAAATATGAATAAATTAATACAAATTTAAATAAAGTAGTGTTGACCATTTAGAGAACCAGAGGGAAACATCAGTGTGAGCCAATGATGAGATCGGGTGTCATTGGTTGGACACTTAAGCCAGAGAATACTTTGTAAACAAGAGCTCTGTTCTAGCCAGAGCATTATCACTGCAGAATTGTTACTGAAAGCTCAACAACAGGATTGAGGAGCTTCAAAAAGCTCAAAGGAAAGTAACAAGTGACCTTTCAGGTGGGGTTTAAACCCATGACATTCTGACTTAGAGTGTCATCACTGATCCAAACTAATAGTTTTGTATAATTAATAATCCTTTACATTTGCATAAAACATAATACTTCTTCAAGGAAAAAGTGAGATCTCTAAAATGACTTCTCATTGACAGTCTGTATTAAATATGTCAGTGAAAAATCTTCAGGCCCTTTTGTCCTCGTTGATTTTATACCAAGTGTGAAAATTGCATTGCTTATTGCGTGACAGTATCCTGGCGATCAATTTAAAACCACTAGGTAGGATGGGGAGCAAGAATGGAGTCAGCTGTTTAGGCCAGTTTCAAAAGTGGCCTCTAGAAAACCAAACAATGGAGTTGGATAAAGGGAATCTGGCTCTTGTAGTGCACTTGGATTTCCAAAAAGGCATTTGATAAGGCTGCCACATGAAAAATGCTGCACCACATGAGAACAGATGTGGTAAACGGTCTTATATTAGCATGGAACAAAGCTCAGTTGAGACTTTGAACTGTAAAGGCTGTCAGCCAATAAAGAAAGGTCCAGAAATAGCATTCTTCTCAGATTTCCCTAGGAAAATAACTCAGCGATAATTTTGATTAAATGATCAAGTACAAACTATCAGCAATATAGTATTTGCTCTCCATCAGTAACCATGCAGTAAAGTGTCATCACAAAACAGTCAAGATACCATTAACTGTAGATATGGCAGGTTATTTAAAAACAAATTGTTCCATCTTCTACTAGACACGCCTTTCGACTTTCTTTTAATTTCTTCTGCCGACTTGTGCCATAATGACAAACAACTGTTGTAAACGGGCTCTGGTCTCAGTGCGGCTTATTTCCCAGGAACAGTCATTAAAGTTCTGAAAAATGGAAACATTGAGGGGATAAGAGAAATTAGAGAATGAACAGATTTTAAATGGAATGAAATGAACTGAATGCCAGTAATTAAACAGTCAATGATCAATTGTCCCACCTTCTGCTTGAGAAACTTTCGCAGTTTCCTGAAGTATTTGTGAATGGTGGTGTTTCTGCTGAGTCTGGCCTCTGTTCCTGATCTCTTAACACATTCATCTACTTCCCTGAACTGTCGATCAAGGAGAAGCCGGACGTTTTCCACCTTGTCCCGGGCCCAAGTGGCTGACCCCAGGTTCATGCTGTAGATCTTCTTGATGTGACGCAAGGTTTGATGAAGTATCTGGATCTTGTCCTGGGCCTGAGAAAAACACACACAGGGATCTTAGAGAGGAAACTGTTTCCAACTGCTAGAAGGAACTAGGGAGGACATGAGGAAGAATGGTGTCACATAGAGTGTGATGAGTGCCTGGAATTCACTGCACGTCTTGGTGCTTGAGAAAGCCTCAACTCATTTAAAATGAACCTGGATCTGCACTTAGCTCGGTACTCTGTAAAGATGGGGCTGGAAATTGGATTTGAATGTGTGGTGAGTATATTCACCTAACATAGACACAATGCACTGAATGGTCTCTTTCTGTGCATTTTCTATTTCAGTCAAACCTGACTTAAAACAGCACATGACACTTTTCTGAATCCGGTGGGTGCCCTGATATTTAAATTCTAAGTTGTTGATCTTAAATGCTTTCCAGAAAACTCCTGTCAGAAGATTTAAAAATAAACTCCAGTCCAGCGTCCACTCACCTGTAAACCTTCTGAAAGCTTCACCAAGTTCAAGGGCTTGGCTTTAAGTGCAGATCTTTCTCTTACACATTGCCAAGGAAAGCGACCCTCCTGTGAGAAGACATTCATTGATTCAGCCAACATCAGCCACAGAAATACTGGAGAATAACTTACTATCAACGGTATAATGGAGCAAAACTACAAACTATGTAACAATGAGCAAACCCGCTGAGTTTCTGATCCTGTTTTGGAGGCAGCTAAAACTGAACAGGTGTGTGTGTGTGTGTGTGTGTGTAGCCTCTTCTGGGAGCTGGCACTACCCAAGCTGCCACTGTATATAGGAGGAGGAATGGGTGAGGTGTGGGAATGTCATTCGAAAAATGAAATGTGGTTACAGGAGTTTTGGACGAGTGTGGGAGAATGAGAAATAGTCTGTCTGCTCCCTGTCTGAGAGAAGAAATCTGAAATCTGGTGATTCCGAAAGCAGTGAGAAGAAAATGCCTGATAGAAAATCAAAGCCAGAGCATGGGGGTTAGCTCAAATATCTGATAACCTGGATAAGTATTGTTAAAAAGGATTTTTTGAAAATAATATTCGTTCCTCCAAAGTGAATGGGATTCTCCTCAACAGGATACAATAATGGCTGCTGTATTGATGAGAATGTATTTTTTTCTGTAACTGATTAAATCAATGTTATTGTGACAATGGCAATCTTTCCCCTCCATCTGTCTGACACTGTCTGCAGCCTTTAACATGGTTGATCACATCATATCGTTGGCCAGGCTTCTCCAGCAGCTGGCTGCGATTGTAATTGCCTCGTTCCATTCTTACCCATGTAATTGTAGCCAGCAAATCACCTGCAGTGACTTCTTTTCCTGATCCCACAGTATTACTCCTGGTATCTCCTCAGAATCTACACTCTTCATAATCAACCTATCCATGGATGTTATTAAACACATCCGGAGCAGGCATGACTTGACACTAAGCCTCCATGCTCAAAGACAGAGGCACTACCACCCTGGTGCATTTCGCAGCTACACACTGCCGAGTAGTGACGTCATCTGAAAATATGGCTTCAGTTAGTACTTAGCTGCATTCAGAACCAAATTCTACCTTACCATCAGCTTTCTCCACTTCTCCAGTCTCTGAACTATCAGACTGCTGATCCAAAGTTCTCTTCTCATGGAGAAGAAATTTCTTTCAATTAAAAATCTGAGGGCTTGTCTTATGAAGGAAGGTTGAAGGCCTGGGGCCTGCATCCATTGGCATATAGAATAATGAGAGGTCATCTTATTGAAAAATATGGATTCTGGGGGGGATTTGACTGAGTAGATGCTGAGATCTTCCCCCTTATGGGGGAATCTGTAACATTTTTGACAGTTTCAGAATGGGGTACCTCCTACTTAAGCTGAACATGAGGGGTCTTTTCTCATGGGGGTGCCGGGAAAGGCAAGAACGTAAAGTTACGATCATAGTCAGGGCAGCCATGATCTTATTAAATGGTGCAGCAGGTTTAATGAGACTAATAGCCTACTCATGGTCCTATTTCCTATGTTGAGACGACTGAAGCTACTGTTCTGGTCCACAGCAGAATATCTCTTCCCTAGTTGTGGATACTATCCCTCTCCCTGGAAACTGTCTGAGTCTGAACCAGACCTTTCACAAACCTGCTGTCATATTTGACCCAGAGGTAAGCATGCAACTACAAGTCATTGCCTTATGAATAAGACTGCCTACTTCCACTTCCATAATGTCTCCTGACTCTATCCCTACATCAGTAACTACTGCTAAAGTACTCATCTCCATTTATATTCCCATTTGCCCTCAGTTTGCCATGTTTGCTTCCAACCTCCCTCAAGATCAATTCCCTTCCATAAGACCATAAGATGTAGGAGCAGAAGTAGGATATTCAGTCCATTGAGCCTGCTTCACCATGACTGAGCTGTTAACCATCAACGCTACTTTCCTGCCCTTTCCACAAAACCCTTGATTGCTTTACTGGTTAAAAATCTGTCTATCTCAATTTTGAATATACTTAACAACCCAGACTTGATAGGCCTCTGCGATGAAAATAATCACAGATTCACTATCTCTGACAATAGAAATTTCTCCTCATCTCTGACTGACTGCACACTCTGAAACTGTCCCTGTGATGCTAGTCTTTCCCTCAAAAGAAAACAACATCTCTGCATCAACCCTGTGAAGTTTCCTAAGAATCTAGCATTGTTCAATAAGGTGGCCTCTCATTCTTCTAAGCTCCAAAGAGTCCAGGCCCAATCTACTCAACCATTCCTCATAAGACAATCCCTCCCTCTACAGGCTCAACCTAGTGAAGGTTCTCTGCACTGCCTTCAATGACAGTATATCTTTCCTTAGATAAGGGGACCAAAACTGGTCACAATATTCCTGGTGTGGTCTAACTAGTGTCTTGTTTGTTTTTAATAAGACTCAGCTATTTTTATACTCTGAAGCCTTTGAATTAAGGCCATCATTCCATTTGCTTTCCCTAATACTTGCTAAACTTGAATTTTGTGATTCATGCACAAGGACTCCTAAATCTCTTTTTTTTTTCATTTTCTGCCATGCTTCTCCATTCTTCCTGCTCTATTCTTCCTGTCAATGTGCATAACATCAGATGTTCCAACATTACATCCTGCACGTTAAGTCTTTGCCTATTCACTTATCTTGTCTAAATTCTTCTGCACACTCTTGGCATCATTCTCAACATTTGCCATCTACCTATTTTTGTGGCTTCTGTAAACTTGGCTATATATAAATTTGACTTTCCTCATTCAAATCATTAATATTGATCCTATAATTAATTGTGGCCTTCAAATTTGATTTCCCCTTAATTCTCGTTTTGATCCTTTTGTTCAGTTTCCCCCTCAGACATTGATAGCCGATTCTGTTCACCAATACATCCTCCATTTTTAACATGTACCACCCAGAAGACATGCTGACCTATATGCTCCTCTGTCTCTGTTTCGCTCACTTCCTCAGAGGCTGATTTCCTTGTTCCACTAAGGGTCTCACTGCACAGTTTCACAACATGGTGACTGCACAAAAGGAAGCCAGTCAGCCTGTCACCTGTATGTTGGTTATCTGAAGGTGAATTGGTTTGCTGAATTTAACACACTTGGCCTTGTACATTCATCTTTTCAAGATAATATTCCACCTTCTCCTTTGATGGCTGAATTGAAACTCTCTCCACCACAATCTCAGGCAGTGTGTGCCAGCTCCCAACTACTCATTACATGAAGAGGCCATTCCTCATGTTGCCACTGGATCTTCTGCCATTTACTTTAAATCTCTGTCTGCTTCTGCCCATCCATTGCATCAATGGGGAACATTTATCCCTATCTAGTCTGTCCAGACACCTCATTATTTTAAATACCTTGATCAACGATCCACTCAACTTGCTTTTCTTCATGGAAACCACTCTCCAATTCTCCAATGTAAATGCAGTAATGAAGTTGCTCATCCTTGCAACTATACTTGTGAATCCATCAGAACTGCTTTAGATTGTTGCTAAAGTGTAGTGCCCAACAACACATGACATTCCACTGAGGCCAAACCTATATTGTTATTCAAGTTTAATGTAATTTCTTTGCGATTATACTCTGTAGCCGTAGGGATAAAGCCTCAGGAGGTATATAAGTTTTGAAGTTCTATCACGTTGTCCTCTCTGTCAATTTGTCAGTGACTTAAGCAGATATATAGCCAAGGCCCTCTGCCACTGCGGCCCTTTACAATTCTGTCCATCATTTTGTTTTGCGGTGCTTGCTGTCAAAAATAAATCGCTTCTCATTTCAATGAAGTAAATTCAATCCGCCACATGCTGAGCCGTTCTACCCAAAAGTCTCTTTCTCATTTAAATTTCTACATATTGTCCAAAATCAAAATTCCATGTCACTATCAAACATATCAACAACAGTACCATGATCACCCTGACTGTCATCCCTTACAAATAATTCTAGCAACTTTGTTAAGTGACTTTAATCCAATATATCCACCTCCCAACATAGCACTTTCTAAAATGTAACGGACCCAGTGAGATCCCAATCCTGTTCTGGGGGCAGCTGATGCTCACCATTTCATGCAGTTTGCTCAGAGTCTCCGTGTTGAGAACTTGCTGTAACTGCAACCTCTCACAACCCAGACTCAGGCTGCCGGACACCAAGACCAGCACCGTCCAAAATCTCCAAATCGTCGCCAGAGCCATGTTGCACCGAGCCAGAAGGCAGCACCGAGGTGGAAGATGAGAAAGCGGTCAGTGTGCAATCGGAGCGGATTGTGATCCGGGAGCGGCCGCCTGTGCTGCCGAGTGCTGTGAGTGTGAGCCTGGGCTCTGCTGGTTGCTCTCACCGGCACTGCCATGCTGGCGGCTTTAAAGGGGCACATTACATTCCAAAAGTGAAAACAGCTCCCAGGAATTTTGGAGGACCTGGCAATAAGATCAAGAGTGTGTGCCGTTTCTTTCTGAGGTAAGGAATCGAAAAGCTGGAGATTCCCGAAGCAACGGCTGGAAAATCCCGGGTCGAAAATCGCAACCAGCGCTCGATTTGCAGCTGAATGTTGAGTGTGTTCAGATCATCGGGCACTGAGCTGGTGCAGGGGGATGCTCTGTAGTTGGGTGGTGGGATTGGGGAGTATGGGGATATGTACTGGGGGCTGGATGTCCCTCATCCGGATTATAGAGACCCCGACTGCAGGAATCCCCGGTGTGTTAACACGGCGCTAGTCCCGTTCCCATTTCCCAGGTTGGAGATGACAGGGAGCCCGAATCACAGACCTGGCTCACCGGCTGCTGGCGACTTTCTCCGCTCACATTCACCTGGCCCAGAATCCGCTCCCTCACTGGAGCAACGTTCTCATTTCCCGGTCGGATTCTGGAGACATTTTCAGGATCCGTGTGAAATCACCAGGATCTGGTCGGACTCCGAAAGTGATCCCGTTCCCTTTCCTTTCATCGCTTCTGTCTGCTCTCTCTCTCCCGCGAAAGTGTCCATGTCGGTTTCTCTCTGGAAATGAACCTCGTGTCAATTTTCTCAAAAGCGAAAGTGCCTCAGGGAAAGTGACGCGTTTTGTCATTTCCGAAAGGCAGGGGAGTTTGTAAACACAGCGGGTCAGACTGGGAGGGGACAGGACAAGGAACATGTTGGAAAGTGTTTGCGATATTCCGGGATAGGCCGGTTAAGGGTGAATTGTCTCCAAATCACTTTTACTTGGAACTACCATCCATACTTACAGAACGGACAGTTTGTTTTCAATGCATTGAAACGCTCATTTTTATAATTAAATAGATTTTGTTTATAATTGATACAGAAACTGTCTTGTCCTCAAAAAAAGACGAATTTAATTGTTGGTTTTAAATCGTTGGCTACGGCACTTCAGACAAGACTGGTCCATTTTAAGTTATATTTGGTGCTTAGCGGCAGTAATTTGACGGTTACAAAATAAATTGCAAATGCTTTCATACTTGGATATTGCTGTCCTCACACCCAAACTCTCCAGTTAAATTTTGGCGCATTTTCGATGACCTGCAAACATTTACAAAGGCGATGCATGCATACTGAATTGGATCAGTTTGCATGTGAGGCCAGATCACACCATACGGGAGGAGCTACATTTATATAACGCCGTTCATGAACAAATAACTTACCAAGGCACTGTCCAAAAATTTTAAAAAAATTGACAAGTTTTCAGTTCAAACGCAGGACATACGTTCAGCAATTTGTGCTTAGCAAGCTCCCACGAGGCGGAATGCTGCAAAGAGCAGATAACCGGGTTTTATTATTTTGAATGTGCGTCAGACAAAAATTATGGCAGAAATGCTAATGTCATCAAATAACGTGGAAAAGCAATTTGTGAGGAGGGCATGCAGAGCATCCAAAGAGTAATCAAGAGGTCAAAGCAGGAGGGGAGCTTATTGTGGGAAAATGTGAGGTTGTCTATATCGCTGAGAAGAAATGTCACCACATCCACAATAATTAATTCCCTCCACCACTGTCAGTTGGTGGAAGCAATGCACACTACCTACAAGATGCGCTGCAGAAATTCAACAAATACCGAAACAAAACAGCTCCTAAATCCAAAAGCTCTGCCATCAAAACAGATGAGAGCCAATAAATGGGAACGCTACCAGTAGCGTGTTCCGCACCAAGCCACTCGCCGTCCTGTCTTGGAATTGCATCAGCATTGATTCAGTGTCATTGGTTCAAAATCCTATGGATTCCTCCCCAACAGCATTGTCAGTCAACCCCTACATGGATTGCAGCAGTACAAAATTCCAAAATTCTACCACCTTCTCAAAGGCAACTAGGGAAAACGAATAAATGCTAGTCCAGGCAACAATACTCCTGTCCCAGGGCTCAATAAGAAAATCAAAAGTCATCTAGCATATTCAACGTTTTGCAAGGATGAAGGTGTAGAAAGGTAGGGAAGGATTTCTACCACTGCATAGGATACTTGTGCAACTTGACCATGTGTACGAATTATATAATGTTTGGGCTCATTACCTAAACAGGATATGCCATCATCAGATGCAGCTCACAGTAGATTCACTCGGTTGATTCTGGAATGACAATGCTGGCTGATGTGAAAATGTTTAGCAGTCTAGGCCTGCATTTATTGCAGTTGTGCAGAATGAGGTGGTGACTTTTCTGAAACAGTTAAGGGTCTGAGAAAATCTGCGTGAATAAATGTTATTAAGATATTTGTGCCTTTGTGGAACCTACAGCTATGGGCACTGGTTGAATATGAGCAGTCTCCCTTTCAGATGGAGGTGATACCGTTTATTCCGGTCACAGAATTTCTAATCACAAAATTTCTCCACTCAAAATCCGTGGCATTTAATATATTCAAGTCTAAGATGGAGAGATTTTTGATAAACAAGTAAATTAGAAGTTTTCAACATCTGAAATTAAACAAAGAACTCAGGCGCTGGAAATTTGAAGATAAAAACAGGAATATTTGGAGAAAATCGGCTGTGTGGCAGCAAGTGTGGTGAGAAAACAGAATTAACATTTTTTAGTCTTGTGACCGTACTTCAGAACTGATCTCAATTCGTTCACTCTGATTTCTCGCCACCGGTGCCGCCATACCATACGGGTTTCGCGAGAAATTTCTGTTTCCCTCAAGGTCATTAGAGTATGAGCTGCAAATTTGAGTCAAGGCCACAATCTGATAAAACTGTAATAGAATAGCGGTGATACTTGAGGTCTTAAGCGGCCTATCTCTGTGCATCTATTTGCATGTATATGTGATGAAGTATTTTGTACAAAAACAGATTATCGCCATGCAAGCCAAGATGCTGTGAGTTATAATAGCATTCATCATATTTGGACTTCCTTAATGCTGAGCGATGTCATTCTCAGACATGGTCTCGTTTCCCTATCGGTACTCAATGGCTGATACTCTCAGCATTCAGCATTCTCAGGTCACTTCAACTCACTTATTCCATTTGTCCATCCCTACAACCAGTTTTACCCTTTCCGGCTCAGCATCCAAAACTCAGTCCACTTTTGCTGCTGAACCAAAATACAATGTTCAGTGGAAGAAGTGGAAAAGATGGAAAATTAGACCAGTATAATCCATTAAAATTGGATTACTAGGTCTGAGGATTGAAGAAAAAACAATTGTGCAAAATGGAGATTGTTAATGAGGAGGAGCAAGAGTAACAGGAGTGAAGACAGAAATATCCTCAGCATTTATACTCATTATCAAAAGATTAAATGACAAGAAACACAGCGTCAGTTCAATAAATGTGCAATATTATCAAGACCAATTTATTTATATCAATGAGCTCTTATTCAGTGTAAAAAAATTCCCAGTTGTAAAAATAGTGTACTCCACAATGTATAATAAATAGCAATAATTTAACAATAAATTAAGTTACTTAACATTCCGTATAAAATTGTAGCATTTCAATAAGTTAAGACATCATGTCAATAAATAGGAGTAATTTGGAATAACTGAGATGGGTTGCAAGGTTGGCAAATAGGTGACAACATCAATGTGTCTCAGACATCACTGAAGTGCAAGCCCATGTCTTTGCAAGTCTGACATCTCAAAACAGATTCCACACACAGTGAAACTTCAACATTGCAACAGGAGAAAATATCACAACAATAAATAGCAGTGAATTGAATTGCATAACCCTAGCAACACTCTCACTGTTACCAACGTACATAACATTTCTTGCAAACATAAATATATATTTTCAATGGAAAGTTTTGGAATTAAATATTCATTGTCCTGATCTGTAGCAAATATGTTCTCTTCAGTTTCTTCTGCTGACTTCTGCCATAATGGATGCAACTGTTGTAAACGGGCTCTGGTCTCAGCACGGATTATTTCCCAGGAACAGTCACTGAATTTCTGAAAAGGTAGAATATTCAAGTAAATGCATTTGAGAATGAATGGAGTTAAATGTTGGCAAACGAATTGTTTGTTAGGAATTACACAGTTCGTTATCAATTGTCATACCTCGTGTTTTAGGAACTTTTCCAATTTCCTGAAGTAAAGTTGAATGGCAGCATTTCTCTTCATTTTATAGTCAGACCCTGATTTCCTCAGACAGTCTTGCAACTCTCTGAGCTGTTGATCCAGGAGAAGAAGAAAGTTTTCCACTTTGTCCCAGGCCCATGTCACTGAACCCAGGTTAATTCTGTAGATCTTGTTGATGAGGTGCAGGGTTTGATGGATTATTTGAATTCTCTCCTGAGCCTGAGCAAAGCACACAAGATTTGTAAAGAGAAATTTATTCCCATTCATTATAGGCTTTCATTAGAATAAATAGAATTTGAGTAATTCAATTCTTTAAATCAATGTTTTGAAAGTATATACAGAGGGGCTTTGATGCATAGAAAATGATATGACCAGTTGGAGTTTTTTGTAACTCTTAATTGTTAAGGTTATAGTGAAACAGAAAAGCTTCTGTATGACTAATATTCAGTACTTCCTATAGCAAGGATACAGACTCAATCAAGAGGGAGAACGAACTAAAAAAATTAGGATTGATTCGTGTGTAACACAAAAAGGAAGCTTAACATATTTTTAAAAAGTATTAATTCAAGGAAAACAGGTTGATAAGGCAGCAAATTATGTAATTTCCACTTTGATATTGAGGGCATGACTGAAGAATGAAGCTGTGAGTTGAATTTACTTTATTTAGAAAACAAATGTATTAAATGTGACAGGAAAGTAGAGGTTGATGAGAAATTGAAGAGAGAATAAACAGATAACAGATACAAAATATTTGTTCAAAGTCTGTCATTTCTTTGTTTCCAATTAAATATTCGCCAATTTCATGCTATAATGTATCAACATTTACTTCAGCTGTATTCTTCCTTATATTATGAATGGAGAAGCTCCATTTTTGCTGGTTTATTCTCATAGTCTATTTTTTCCTCTATTATTTTTTAGGCATAATGATCTGTTTTT